GATGATTATATTTAAGAGGAGACGGGGGGGGGGGGGGGGGGGGGGGGGGGGGGGGGGGGGGGGGGGCGTGCCATCTGCACTTTGCTTTTCTTGGTGACAGCAGTGGTGCTGGGGTCCTGCCACACGCACCGAGCAGGAGCGGCCAGGACTGATCGGTGAGCTCTCCGCTCGGATCAGGTTGCCAGAGCCGGGAGCCGAACTATGGGCTTTGAACTGCCCCGCCCACTCTCCAGAAGCAGAAGCCAAGGAGCCATCTTTGTTCTACCGTGGCTGGAGCTGCCATCCTGAAGTGTCGCTTGCTACTCCATAGTTCCAGAACCTTCTGTTGGTTCTTTTCTTTAAGTTTATTTATTGCGTCATAACAAAAAGCAAGATTATTTCTTTTACTGGCCAATGAGGGGAAATTCAGAGGCTGCTTTGTTTGAAGGAGGTTAAATTGACAGTAAATATTGTCTTGCAAATATTGTGCAGCACCAGAACATATCGATTATGTCTTATTTACTTATTTACTAAAGATAATGTGTGCTCTGCTGTTTTATTGGTTTATTGAGGGAAACAAACCGAAAACAGTCCCCAGTATTTCAAGCCCTTCATTACAGCTGTTGCTTTAATAGATTTGCCTCATCCATAATTTTAATTTCACCATTATATGAGAAGGTGCATTTTTAATCACTTGTGTATTTCTTTGGCATGGCGCTGTCTTCTTATCAGCATTTAAAACAATAAAAAAACATCTGCAATAAACCTGGTATGTTATCAGAAGGACTTAATTTCCGATCATCTGGCGGCCAAAGAAAAGTCTAATTAGCGACAGTATTTCCGAGGGATAGTTTTGGATTATTGTGCAGCGAGAGCCGAACAAAGGTTTATTTTTTCCGGAGACATTTCCTCCTTTGTCTTTGAAATCCTAAGCAGACAGAGGAATCCTGCCTGAAAGCGGGTGTCACTTGAGGGCAGGGCTGTGGCGAGATGACGCTGAGGCAGGAGAATGCCACACGTTGAATTATGGCTCCATACTGTTCCCCCGATTTAGGGGAAACATAATAAGATTCTTTCTTCTTTTTTTTTTTTGTATGTTCGACTGATGGCAAAACAGTTTGCCAGTCAAGGGTATCGAATTCTCCGGTGAAGCGGCATTTGCTGAAATAATGAAAGCAAGTTGCTCCCCGGCCTCTACTCAGGGATCGGTTTCACAGCTTAGACCAGGTCTGGGACCCGGCTGGGGGTGAGAGCCCCTCCTTCGAGTACACCGTGAGATCCACTCCTCCACAGAGACTCAGAACTATGACAATGATGTCATGTTCTTGCTCTTTTTTTTTTCTTGAGCAGAGGCCCTAATTCACTGAGGTGATTGAGCTACACCGAGAGTCTGGGAATCCAGCAGAACATCGAACGCGTATCGTGTAACGCGTCACAGCGGTGCGCGTGAATATGTTAACGCCGTCAAGCGAGGCCTTGGGATTAATCAGCACGTTGAAAAAAACATCACTGTGGGCTGTTCTCTGTATTTGAGTAAAGTATGCAGCAAAAAGTAATGATACCACTGAGGAGTTTATTTTTCAATCTGTTAAAGAGGAGAAATTTGCATTTTTTGGTACAAAAAAAAATCAGGGGTAAAAATCACAGTCTGTACCTGGATCAGTCAGAGGACTGAAATAGCATTCTTGTGAAAAGCCAGGCTGCACTGCTAGTTTGGGAATGGACTAAATATAGGGCGCCATGCCATTACTTCAGCACGAGATGAGATTTGCCATGGCTGAGCTAGTTGGGGGGGTTGGGGGGTGCCATAGGCGAAATGGGGGGGGGGGGTCTTACGTCACGAGAGCGCCTCACATCACGCCTCCTGTGTTGTGTGGTGGCCACATTACAAAGATCAACCTGAACTCATCACCCACCTGCCATGCTAATTGTGCTCAATAAGTAAACAATCATTATAACTAATAACTAAATTACTAAAAAACTAAAAGCCCACCACACCATAGGTTCTAAAAATAGCAAAACATTTTCTTCTCACTATATTATTTAAACTATGGTGAACTACTGGCTTATAAAATCATACTGAGGTTAAAATGTCCATTGCGTGGATAGCGCTGTACAGTACAAAACGACTCTGTTGCTGTTTTTATGGTATTTTAATGGATTTTTTATTCTCTCAGTGTAAGACTGGTGAAGATAATTTAATTTCTATCTCACTGTTGACATTTTATTGACGCAGTGCTAGCAAACCTAGTTTAAGAAACGTCAGGTATTGTTTCTGTTGGTTCAGTGCTTCATTGAGACGCGATCGACCTGGTTGCATGATACACGCTGCAGTCAGGGGTAGCGCTGATATAACATCCTCAATTACTCAAAATGTGCCCTATTTCATTCTCACCTACTTCTGTTATCTCACCTGCCAAGCAGACATTTGAAGTACTTTTCTAGTTACATGCAAGCGAGATAATTGAACCATTTTTTCCACAGGCGCATATTTCCTGTGCAGAGCCAAGTGTTACTGTGCAGCCACTGCCTTAAAGCATCGGCAACAGAATCACCGTTATTAATTTTTATTACCGATCGTTTTATTACTGATAATTAGCACACTTCTAATAAACAATTAGCTAGCAGATCGTTATATTACAATTTAAACGTGCTCCTGCCAGGTTACTCTAATAACTCCAAGTCCTATTTAAGAAAAAAAAATCTTTAGCAGTTTCTTAATTTAGAAATGTGAACATTTTTGGTCCCTTATGGTAACATGAATTACCAAAATGACCCTTCAAAAGAGAGTCTTTATATGTCAGTTTTGTTTTTAATACAAACTGAAGTCGTGAAAGAATATATAACAAACGTGATACACATAATAAAGATTTTGTAACAGCTTAAGGGTACTTCAGTGTTTGGCAGCTCTGGAGATCGTGCTTACTCTATTTCAAATAAATGAAATGATATCGCCCCCTGCTGGATATTGTTTTGCATTCGTTCAGCTTCATCAGGACCTACCAGTGTTTCCACAGAAGCATCGTGTATCAAAGGTTTCCTACAAACATAGGGAAAAAATGCAACAAATAATGTGGATAATTCAAACTGTTAAAGGTTGTTAAATACAAGAACTGAGCTATTGGTATTTTCAACACAGGTTTTTGTAAAATTTACAATATAACCTTTAGAGTTTAGACCTTTAATCCCTAGAATTGTCTTACAATGTGACATTTAAGGTTTAAATTTTGGAAATTCAAGAAAGCACCCCAGTCAGGATGCCAGTACAATTCAAGACATATGTACACATTATGCGTAATTTACAGACAGCTGATCTTCAATATCAGAGAAGATTCCTATACAGAGAAAGTTCCCATACAGAGAAAATTATTGAATAGCCAGCCATTGAAGGGCATGAGGTCAAGTTGAAGTGGAAATATGAATCAACAATGTACAGGGGTTTCAAGGGCAAAAGTAATAGGCATCAGACTATTAAATAACTGGAAACACTGACATAGGCTATGTCTGCACGTCTCTCACTCTCACTAGCGGTGAGGCGTACATGTGCATCTTTAGAGATCATTTGAAGACGGAATTGTTTTTCCCGGTTTCTGGGTATCTAATGTGGCCACTTAAAAGCGACATTCACCACATCCTCCAGGATGTGAAAAAAACTTTTTAAAGATTTTTGTCTCCTGCTCACATGGTGGCATTATGTGCCTCTTCGTTATGGTCTCGTTTAATAAATTCCCAGAAGAACAGGCACAGCAGGTATTTTGGTTCCTATTGACCAAAGTATCATATGCCGAAATACAAAGCAAACAGCAATGACCGGAATCGAACTCATCGGAAATGTTGCATGACGGCACCATTCTCCTAAATTGGTGAATGATTAAGTCATATGATTCAAATGTGTTTAGCTATTTGAGTCTTTAGATTTATGGCTAATAGTTAAGTTTATCCTGATGGCTGGATATGCACATTTATCCTGGCTTAATAAGCAGTAAATTCACTAGACAGGTTTCAAACATGTCAGCTATAACAAACCAGGCAGCAGCTGTTGAATGAATGAATGAATGCCTTTTATTGTCACTATACACATGCATAATGAGATTAAGAGCAGCACCTTCAGTGCAAACATGTATACACGACAAACCATAAACAAGTTCTGCAGCGCTATATACATTTGAAATAAATAACTAAATAGGGTTTTAAATATATTAATATACAATGTGATATGCAGTGTGGGTTATCGCACATTATTTAGGTATTGCACGGTAATAATGATCATGTGATATTGCACAGTATACGGTATTGCACAGTTATCAATACCATTTATGTAATGGATATTGCACAGTTGATAGAAGGAAGTCCAGGGGTTGGAGGTTAGACTGCGTAGTCTACTGTCCAGTCAGTGCATGTGTACGTTTAGGGTGGTTATGGCTTTTGGAAAAAAAAAAATAACACATGACATAACAGGTTTGAGCCTTTTAAATTCAGCGATTTTTATTTGGCTGAATAGCTTCTAAATAATAGTGTTTATTGAATAGTCTGTGTGCCCCATCCAGGGTGCCCCTGGATATGCTCCAGGACTCCCAGGATTCTGCATAGGACACGTGGGTATAGGAAAGAAATGGATCGATGGATAGTTTCTAGTCTCAGGGCTTGAACCGATCCAATTTAAACAATTCTTCTCATATAACAAAAGTTTTAGCCTGTCACAATTTACTAAAATTAACAAGTCACATACATGTTATTAACAACAAAATATATTTCATGCAAAAGTAAAAAGCAACATAAAGAGCTGGAAATTGTAATTTTAGGGTGCACCTGCCACCATATTGATGTCTGCAATCTAAACCGGAAGTATCACTGACACCCGTGATTTCGATGGTTCTTTCAGTTCTTTCGGTTGATTTCCCATAATCCTCCGCGCTAGTTCTTCCTCTTCCGATTGGGATTCTATACGTGTGGAAGGTGTATATTTTTTATTCAGCACTTTACTTACGAAAACCCTGATTAATCCTAAGTATATGAAAAGAAAATGTGATGTTTGAAGTCAGTTTAATTAACGATAACATATATACAACCACTTGAATTGTGTATTTTTTGAAAGATTGCTTTGCCCGAGACAAAATTTGATTCAGTATGTAGCCTTCCCTGCCGTTCGCCAAGCATATGTTAAACTTGACTTATTTGATTATTTTGTCTTGCCAGACTGCGCTGTTTGTACTTATTCGTAGTATATTACAAGCCTTATGTATGCTTGAGCCCCGTTAAAATAAAGCAGTAACATTAATGTAACGCGCATTAACCTGTGCTGTTGTATGGAGGAGCGGCCCTCATCGCTTGGTCGCCTTACTTTATGTATTTCTTTCTGCAGCTAGACTATCAAAATGGCAAAGTCGAAGAACCACACCACCCACAACCAATGTAAGTTACTTAAGCAAGCTGCGTCATTTAGAAATTCAATGTTCAATCGAAGTGAGTTTTTTTTCCTGTTGTGTGCCCCTTTCAGCCCGCAAAGCTCACAGAAACGGCATCAAGAAGCCGAGGACTCACAGATACGAGTCTCTGAAGGGGGTAAGTGCAAGAGACCGCCGCATATTTAACAGCTGGCCTTGGAAATCGCTAGGTTCATCAATGATGACTGATGCCATGGTTTAAAATCGTATCTGTTGATAAGAATAGTTGTAGCTCAGGCTGTTGTGTATTTGGCTTAATGTAGGAGCGGGAAAATGTCACTTAATTTGGCTGCTTTGAGCAGTTCCCTGGAGAATAATTTCCCTGTTTCTATGATTTCTTTGAATGAAATCTTGTGGGTATAAAGGCGATACCCTTTATAGACAGTGCTTTTAAACCTTCGCTAAAGTGAGCTGAACTTCCTGATATGTGCTGGTGAACCAAGGAAGAATATCTGTTCAAATCCTGGTGTTTACAGATAGCTGTGCCTGTTGCTTTGGACAGTGGTTTATTTGGGCATTTGCAAAAGTTTCTTTTGTACACGTTAAAAAATATTCCTTAAATACTGAACTAATTCTGAACTTCTGAACAGTCAATATATTATGCATTGTAAATTTTTCTCTTGCTGCAATTTCTTTAGTTGTATAAATTTAATTACGCAGTTTGCACAAATTGTGGCTTCCCTCCCTCCAGTATCTCTCAGCTGGCCGGTTTGTTGCACTGTTTGATGCCTGCTGAGTGTCCTTTAAGTTGTTTTCCTTCCATGTGCGTTTGTTGATAAGCCTGAGTTTGGCAGATTTAACAGCAATTTCTATTTATAAGACCCAAAGGTTGACAATAACGTGTTTGATTTGTGGGTGAAGCTGGTAGCCTGTTTAATATTTGACATGGGTTGCTAGATCTGGGCGCTGCACTGTAATCAAAATAAGGTGGGATTGAAGGTTTGAACTGGGCAGCTAGCTGGAAATTGATTATGCAGAAAAGCACAGAATTGTGTTTAGTGATATTATTCCATTAAACTCGTGACATACCCTTGGATGGTGAGTTTGTGCTCTGCTTTAATCGTTTTTGCCTCATATAGTGATTTCTGTATGCTTTTCCCCTCATTCACTAGGTTTGGTTGGAAATTTTGATTGCTGAATGTACCTCAGTTGTTTGGAAGTTCACAGAGTTGCTCATTCAGAATCCCTTTCTTTGTAGGTTGACCCCAAATTCTTGAGGAACATGCGATTTGCTAAGAAGCACAACAAGAAAGGACTGAAGAAGGCGAGGGCTGCAAAGCTGGCAGCTGCCAAATAAACTGGGGCCGTCACAGTGCTTGTGTGGACTGTTTGTTTCCATCTGACTCAAGTTTTATACTTGAATAAAGCAGTGGATTGATTGAAAGCAGTCTGTCATTTCACAGGATTCTTATGGATCCTTAAATCTTTATAATAGATTTTCAACATTTTGAGATGTTGCCTAAAGATCAGTTGAGTAATCCTATCTTCATTACCCGAATATACTTTGTGTAATTCAGTTATTTCATGTTTCTTGCGTTTTTATGTGCATCTCCCTGTCATTTAACTTTGTTTACTTAGTGTTGAATGGGTGGGAAAGGGCAGCAAAAATGGGGGAAAATGTGAATTTGAAAAGACTGTAATCCAGGAATGGTGTAGCCAATTCATACAATAATTTACAACTCAAAGTTTTGTATTCTGTGCAGCTTCCCCAATGCATCTGTCATAAAAACCTTATTTTAAATCAAAATAACCAGAGCGATATGGAAAAACAGCACAATAGAAAGCAAGACCCCAGTTTTATGTAAGTGCATAAATGGTCATGTGGAGCTTTTCCCATGTGTAATACCTAACATCCTTTGTCAAACATGCACCACGCAAGCCTTTGTCCCTCTGTTCCGGTGGTAATGATAAAGTTGCATGGATGAAAATGGATAAGTATCAATATTTTGGAAACTGCGGATGATCTGGGATTTTCACACACAACCATCTCTAGAGTTTATAGAAAATGAGCCGAAAAAGAAAAAACATCCAGCGAGCAGTGGTTCTCTGGGTGAAAATGCCTTGTTGCTGGCAGAGGTCAGAGAAGAATGACCAGACTGGTTCAAGCTGATAGAAAGGCAACAGTCATTCAAAAAGCCACTTGCTACAATCAAAGATATGCAAAAGAGCATCTCTGAATACAGAACACATCCAGCCTTGAAGCAGATGGGCTTCAGCAGCAGAAGACCATACCGGGTGCCACTCCTGTCAGATAAAAACAGGAAACGGGTGACTGGGCATGGGGCATGCAGCAGGCATAGAATTAAGGCAGTTCTGAAGGCAAAAGTGGGTAATAGCAAGGTGTACCTAATAAAGTGCAGTGACTGTGTGTCTGAACATATATACTGTATGTGTGTGTGTATATACAGTATATATATGTAAAGGAAGGTTTTTTATTCACTTTGTCATACTGGAGTGAATGCCAGCTACTAAAAGTTACGACATTGTCAAGAGCCATATGGCTACATATTTGAGTTATGGGTTTCTAAAGGGGCTTTGATTTGTTAAAATTATGATGAACTTGACTGATTGTGGAGCATACAGCAGTGAGTACATACAGCACAGATGAACATACATGTAATACAAAGACGGTACACAATGCACAATATCTGGAAAAATAGAATATTGCAATACAGAAATAAATACTTAGCAACATTGCTTTTTTACAAAGTAAAGATTTGATCTGGTAATTACAGAGGCATTAACATCCATGGCCTTATAAAGAACTAGTGCAGCTTAGCGTGTTTGATATTTTACATCTTAGAAGCTGCTCACCATTTGCTCCATGACACTTCATAAGCTGTTCAGGTGCGTAGCTAATTACGTGTCGTGTTCTTTGTCCGTGGCTCATGTGTCGCCGTTCCCCCAAGCTCTCAGAGCCCATCATCACCTGGTCTATTCATAGCTGCAGCTTAACAACTGCACCAAGTTTGTAGGCTTGCTAATGAAGCTAAAGAGGACATTCCTAGCATTTGCTAGCCATGGAGAGAATACTTGGCGTGTGTCGGTTCTTGCAGTTGCCGTCCAGGGACAAAGCGGTAAGGTTAATTGGCATCTCTAAATTAGACAGTGTGTGTGTCTGTGCCCTGTGACAGATTGGCATCCTGTCCATGCTGTACCCCTGCTGGGTGCCCTGTGCTGCCTGGGTTGGGCTCCAACCACTGCCCCACCAATGACTGCCCCACCAATGACCCTGTCCTGGATAAGTGGTTGAAAGTTGGATTGTTCATGTGTTGAAACTTACTTTCCTGCCAGTTTGAACTATAGGTAAATGGTGAAAGCTACTTAAATGGTTGTTTTTCCTATTTACCACTTGCAGTGGGTATGCCCTGTACCGTCTGGATTGACTGGAATTTTTATGGCGCTGTCGTTGACTGATGGTCCTACTAAACCCACAAGTGATTGTTGGAGGTGGAAAATGCCGCATCTGGCATTGTTCCCAGATATTCCCGTACATGCCTGACAGTTCAGCTGTGGTGACTGAAGGGGTGGAGAGACATCAAACGGCTGGGTGACTGGAAGGCATGATGCTGAAAGAGACCCCACCTTTCGAGGGTGAAATGGGTGGTGTGTGTAGGCTGCTGTGCCTGTGATCAGAAGGTTGTTGGTTTATCCCACTGCTGCCAAGTGTTTTGGGGCAGTGGTGACCTAAGGGTTGGGGAAGCGCACTTGTAATTGAAAGATTACTGGTTTGAATCCCCGACCAGCAAGGTACCACTGAGGTACCCTGAGCAAGGTACAGCCCCCAAGCACTGCTCCCTGGGCGCTGAATTAGCTGCCCCCTGCTATGTCACATACGAGTTAAATGAAGAGGACACATTTCATTGTTGTGCTGTGGTGTGTCAACAATGATCACTGATCACCAAATTCTAAAACCCTTTGTCTGTAGAGTGATTTCACTGTTGGGCCCTTGAGCAAGGCCCTTAGCCACCAACTGCTACAGGGACTGTCTGACCTTGAGTTTCTCAATTGTGCATCATTTTACATAAAAGCAGTAGCTAAATACATAAAATATGAAGTTGTAGGACTATAAGCCAGACCAGGTAATGTTGTAGGACTGAAATGCAGGCAACACAGGAGTGAAGAACATGACCGATGCTGTTAAGTGACGACTTTCTTTGACCTGCCAGCTAGATAGATGCCAGTCAGTCTGGCCCAAGATGCGATCCGTGGTGTTAGAGAGTGAGAGAAACATGAGCAGTTGGGAGTGCAAGATGATTCCTCAGATTATACTAATATTCTGCTTTTATTCATAGTCCATTACCTTGTGTGTTGTGGCTTGGATGTTCACCCCATGTGACATGGGCTTCCTCCTGCGGGCTGAAGACATGCCAAGAGGCTAATTAGTTTCTCTATAGTGTATCATTACACGTGTGAGCATGTCATGCAACCATCTGGCATCCCCCAGCCATGTGCCCAGTGCTGCCAAAGACAGGCACCTAGAAGATGTTTTGGGGTTTTTGGGTTCCAACATTGCCAGTTGTGATTGAGAAATGCTGTTGTGTGACATTTGTCAAGACCCTTTTTCATTTTCTTCTTTTGCCATGTTCATTATCCTGGAGTATCTGCTTCTGCCTACTGTTGCCATCTGTGTGCTGGCTTATTGCAAGGTTTTATCTCCATAAACACCACTACCCGTGAAACGCAAACCTCCAAAGAACTCCAGCATCTCTTGGAATGCATGATTCAATGAATGGACTAGGTGTCACAATCCCTGATGTTTGCATCGCTTCTAATGGGGAAGTCTTGAGGGATGGCTGCTATGAGAGATGGCATCCAGCAGGACACATCATCAGTTGTGTGCCTCAGCTTCACAGGGTGTTTCGGCCATTCATCACGACACCCTCTGCTGAGGCAGGCCCACCACAGGTTGATCAAGCCTGGGCGTGTGTCTCGCGGTTAGCTGATCGCCTTAGCTGCCCGAGTGATGTCATCCCTCTTCAGCCACAGCCAGTGACTGGTCCTCTCAGCGGTGTTGGCCAGTTCTCTGATAGCCTGTCCCCTTGTGGATTCTAATTTAATAAACATAAGATTTATTTTACACCTTTAGTAATTTCATTTTAATTTCAAAGCATTCAGCTCAGTTATTCTATTGACTATTAGTGTTTCAAAGCCTTGAGTTAAATGTTATTAGTTTGTACAATACTACAAGCTTGAGATATTACCATCCATCCATCCATTTTCTGTAACTGGACGTGGGGGGGTCGAAGTTCCAGAGCCTAGCTTGAGATATTTCCTGTAACTAAGTTTTATAAATCTTAAGATATGCTGAATATATGGTAATGCTTTACATTATCTGTACCTTCATGATGCCTTCATAATGCATTCATAGAACATTCAATGCCCTTACATAATGCATTTATTGCTGAGATAAACCAACTCTAAACACCCAAATAAAACATGACCATAATTTTTACCCATGCCTGTATTTTAATGTATGATCCAAATGAGCACATTTAAACGTGGTTTTTATAAGTTAGCTATGGTTTTTGCATCAGATCTCAACTAAATATATAATCATGTAATACACCTTTAACAAAACAATATACAAAAAAGAGATGTAAATAATGTCAGTCTGAATGAGTCATTGAGCTGGATTGTTGATAGACAATAGTGCCAGCCTACACAGTCCTTTGAAGGAATTTTTTTGAATCTCGCTAAAACATTCACACATCAAGAGACAGGAGCTCTTCTCATATTTATTCCACCCCCTTCATGAACTCCAAGAACTCTGTAGGAAGAGAGAAAAGAGGTATTAAGAACACAGAGAAATTGATAAACCCGCCTTCCCCCTAACTAAAGCCCTAAACAAACTACTACTAAACTCGATATATTTTCCTTACAGAATGGTTAAACTGATTTGTTAATAGTATATTTATATGCTGCTCTGGATTTTCTAGCCATATGACAAAATTTCAGGTCTTCTGAAATCATCCATCCATCCGTCCGTCCTCCAACTGTTTATCTGGAGCAGAGTCACGGGGCCTGGAGCCTATGCCAGGCATCACAGGGCACAAGATGAGAGCACACCCTGGACGGGATGCCCAGGACACACACACACACAATTAGAGGCACTAATTAGCCTACCTGCTAAGGACTGAGGCAGGGAACCTGAACATCGCAGAGAGAACGTGCAAACAAGCAGTGGGGGGCAGGTTTACAGCCCTTAGTTGTGTCACCCGCCATCTCCTACCGTCATAATCAATCTTTCCATCGTTGTTCCTGTCTCCATCCTTCATGAGCTCCTCTATGTCATCCTCAGTGATGGTTTCACCAGTCGCCTCCAACATTATCTTCAGTTCCTCAAGATCGATATACCCGTCCGAGTTCCTAGGCGAGTATCAC